CACACACACACACACACACACACACACACTCACACTCACACACACCCATACACACACACATACACACACACATACACACACAAACATGCACACACATGCAGGCTTACAGTCACATGCATACTATAAATTAACAGTTATATAAACAGTAATAATCTTTAGCTAGATACATACTCAGTATTCTGACTGTAACTCAATGAAATTCGGATGCATGCTCTAACTTAGAGCATGCATAAATATTCATAAACTATTCATAAATGACCTTAGAGTCTAAGGTCATTTATGAATAGTTAAGCCCAAACCAGCAGTGTAGGAGGCACCGTCTGTCCTTGCCCTCCTCTTAGCTGCATGAAAGGATGCTCTCTGTAGTGAACCAGAAGTATGTCGCAGTGCAAATAAATAGCATTTTGTATAGCGCATATCCCCACTCGAAAGCAAGATCTATGTGTTTTACACTATATTATTACCCCAGCAGACCATAGAACACTCAGAAACATTCTCAGCTTCCTGAGAAGCATACACTGCAAGCAGCTGGTTAAACGCTCAGACACTAACAAACTGACAAGATCTTTCACTGACTATTGCTGGGTACCTATTCTCACCTGGGTGAAGTGGGGAAAATGTGTGTAAAGAGCCTTTCCGAAGGACACAACATCGGGCCCGCGGCTCGAACCCCCGAACCCGCAACCTCACGATTATGAGTCCGGTAGCCTAACCACTAGGTCACCGACGCCACTAACTGGATAGTGTGACATAAGTCTATGGTGAGCGACTCTTTTAACGTTTTGCAGTCACACAGCCAGCAGCGGAACAAAATTTTATTAAATAGCCCATCTGGTCACCCAGCCAGGAGAGTGACTGCAACGAACTTCTCTGGACTGGCGCAGAATGACCAGAACGTATAATTTTCACTTGCTCATCATTGTGGCTAGTGACCGCAAAGTGTTAAAAATGGAGGAATTTGAAAGTGAAATGTAAGTATTGTTGTAGTGTGTTATAATTGCTCCTGCTGTGATGAATTGATGAATGCTCCAAATCCTTGAACTTGTACTGAACAGAAGGGATTATCTCTTGCAGCAGAGAGCATCTCGCAACTCCTTGTTTTTTGATGTTGTCAAGCATACACTACACTGTATACATTCCAGAATTACTTTGATTCCACAGAATTATTGTGGGACTTGAAATTCCAGCCTTTTCTGATAGCTTTTCAGTGCATGTTTTTTATGCTTTTGTCCACTGTTGTTACTTATATTGTCACTTGCGATTACGTTTTTAAAATAATTACCCATGACTTTTTAGACCAATAGGGCTTAGCCTTTCTGATAAACATTCAGGGGAATTAGAATTAACCTTTTTAGTTCTAAGATTTTACTTTACTGGCAGGACTTTTTGACTGCTTCCTTAGCTAAGTAGGTCACGGTGTCAATGCGGCGCTGAGGCTAATGGAGTTATTTGTTTTTGCTTTATATCATGTGGACTACTGCGACTGAATGTGGTGTGTAAGGTAACAATAACACTGGTGAACTCCAGTGGAGTAAAGTTTACAGTAGAAGTGAAAAACCTATTTGGTCGCTTTTAAGGACAAACAGGCTAACCCGGATTTCGGGGGTTTCCAGAAATCTTGACCTGCACCAAAACTTGACATTGCCCTACTTGTAGGAGAAGTTTGGTTTCATTGATGTTCATATTTTTTTGGTAATAGAGAAAACTGTCCTTGTTTTTTTAAAGAAACTGAACAAGGGCGAAAAACTTTACGTTCACTTTTCTCAAAACAGCATTTTTCAGGAAAGCCCCCTTGTGCTTAAAAGCGACCATTTGTGTGGTAGCCTATGTATGTGAAATCAGGCTAGTTTTTTATTTGGGTCCTTTTAAGATTTTGCTGAAGGAGATTCTGCTTAGGTGTGCTTGCACTTCTTTGACTTTCAACGTCTAAGGTAATGGGTGTATTGAGCAGGCAAGACCTCTGAAGTTTTAGTTTCCTGCTGTGGGCTAAGGTGAAAT